AAGCTCTGTCCAGAACAGGGTTCATCAGTGCTTTTTATTTCATATCAATGCAGCTTAAAATGTTAAAAATGATGTTGAATCTGTCTTAAATCCTTTAAGACATTATTTCTTTACATTACATTTATATTTATATATTCTTAGTTTCACACCCATCATTTATTAAAGAACTGGATTTGTTAAATTCCAAATCCCATAAACTAAACTAGACACTCACGACACATTAATCGAGTGTAATTAATCTGTTTTTACCCAGGTACAGTAAATCTCTGATTGGCACTTGATGATGTCTCTGGGCAGTTTTCAAGGCCCCTGTCTAAACAAATGGGAAAAGAGCCATAACTTTAATTTAAGGGCCCACAAAGTGATAAAAAGTGTAGAAACCGAATCAGAATAAATACTCTTATTACAACATTAAAATCCTCTGTGGTAATGTACAGATGCTGAATTACAAAGATTGAGTCTTTATCCAGATAGTTATCGACGTACAGTTGAAGCTGTAATGCGTATGTCAGCTCAACAACACATTTTGCTCATGTTTAGCTCCAGCTGTTGATTGTCTCTTTGGGGACAGAGGCGGGAAAACTACAGTCTTTGCTTTTATATTATATTTTCTTTTCATTCCTTTATTGCTGTGCCTCCCTTCTGTAATGTCTCTGACTGAACATCTCAACCTAACATTTGTTTCATGCAACTGTGATGCAAAGAGCTTGTGACAGATTACTAGCTCCTATTTAAGGATGGATTTCCTTGCTTTTATGAGGTCATCTGGTATCTGGAGAGTCAGTTTAATCCTTGCCTGCTTCACAGCTACCAGATCAGCCGGCTGACAGCGAGTCCCAAACACAAGATGATGAATAAAACATTAAAACAAGTCCGTCCGTCTTGGCGTGACCACTGACACAGACACCGCTGCTGTCAGTCACAGCCATTGGTGCTGCACTCAGCTTTATTGCTTTATCTCTGTCCTCTCAGTGCCTTTTTTATTTCTTCCTGTGTGAGTGATTCATAGGTGCTAACATCAGCACCTCTGCTCCCCTCTCACTCAGGCTCCCAAAGGTCCTTGTCATCAAATCCTCTTCAGCCTCTGCTACATCCCTCGTATCATCCGCGCTCTTCCTCCATCACTATCCCTGCTTCCCTCCCTCTGTCATTCTCCTATCAGTTATCACTTTGTGACTTGAGGTGCGAGGTGGAGACACTAATCACAAAGGATAGCAGTGCATCAGTTTGTGTTTATGATATTTGTGTGTGTGTGTGTGTGTGCAGCTTTAGTGGGATTTTAATCACGCTGACGTGGGCCGTGATGGTTCACACAGTGTGATGGCTGTTATTGTGGTCATTTCTCCCTTACAAAGGTCAGCACTTCAGTTCAGCACAGGGCTGTGATAGCCTGGTCCTGATTGGGTTCCTCTTAAAGGTGTATTGCAGCAGCGTAACTTAACCCTTTATGAAGTCGGATACAAGTGTTTTTTTTGCTCCTTTAAATCCCCTGCTTACATTTCCTCTGAGTGTCTCTTTCTGTATACTCCACAAACTCTTCATTCAGTTTTGTTCATGGTTTTAAATGTGCTGAGAAAGATATCCCTACATTACACACTGAGATTCTACACATATATATAGTGGGTCAAATGAATTTGAATTCAATTAGCCATGGCATTTCTAACAAGAAGGGG